GCCAAATTTAACAAGGAGATCAACGCTCTTTGTATACTGTCTGGTTGCTATGCTTATGCTTCGGGCTTTCTTGGAAAGAATAACTGCTTATCTGTGTAACCAAAGTGTTGTGCTAATATAACCTAGATGTATTTGTAAAAAAATTAGTAAGTTTTTAAAGGTAACGACAATTTTCCTTATTACAGACCATAAAAAAATTTTAGACGTGCATTCCGCAGTGTATGCCAACTTGCTTGCCGCAGTGTATCCAAGCTAATCAAGGAGTACAAATGCATGCAACCGTTCAGCAGTGTGCTCCAGCCTGTATGCCATCTTGCGAACCTTCATGCTTGGCACAGCAGCCAACCTGCATTCAAATATGTATGCCAGCTTGTGCGGAAACCTGTATCCAAGAACACACAAAACAGTCGTTACCGAGATGCATACCTGCTTGCATGCCTGCCTGTTCACCCACTTGTACCTTACAGTCACCGTCAAGTCAGTTCTCAGCAACTATACTATGGCAGTAAAAGCATTTAAGCAATAAGATTCTGAAAAAAGCTTCATTCTTAAAGAAATCCACATTGTAATTAATGGTATAACTAATCTAATGAGTTTTTGCTGTGAGCTATATTGTGAGGTTAATTTGAGGTCCGCCGTATACTACATCTTGTGGCACACCTTGCATCTGTGAACCAGGTTACGTTGAATGTGCAGCTCAGACCTGCTGTTTACGCTATAAAAATATGGCAGCAAAATTTAGTAAACAAGCACAACTTGAAATTAACGACGATTATGTGACAACTGAGCTACCAAAAACTGAACCATATTCACTAACTACCGAACAGATTTTAGACAGTACTACTAATGACTGGTTACAAGCGGATCTGGTATATATTTTACGCAACCAAACCTAATTGTTTTTGCCAGAACCATAGTCACAAAAAAAAAAAAGTTAAAGCAACTTTATTTTGCTATTGAACTATTAATCTATTCAAAATTTGTTCTTTATAGGTGTTGATGGACGAGGCAACGAGTATTCGGCAACGACCAGTGGAAGTTAAAAAACCTCAACTGGCAAAATGAACAGAAACATAGAGCTTAGTAATATAAAGAATAATAGTTTTAATCATACTGATAATAATAAGCACAATAATGACAATGATAATAGTGAAAATAATAATGATAATGAGAATGATAGTAATAAAAATAAGAATAAGAATAATAAAAATAATAATGGTAATAATAGTG